CCCAAACCCTGGCATTGCTGAGACTAAGAGCCACCGCCGGAGGAAGGAAGATCACGTCGGGGCTCTTCAGGCACAGACATCCTTTTGCAGTTCGCAGCACACGCAATCCTGATCTTTAAAGTGCAGCCATTATTTATCCTGCCTCATGAAACAAAGGGGTTTAATTACTGTCTCTACTCCCCTCACACCGTACTCAGAATTTTTGTTTCCCACATGTGCAGGTCACAGACAGTAGAAATCTCAGAGAAAATAAACATCAGAACTGAAATGCGGGTTTGAAACAGGAGTGAGAAGATCTGAAGTCAGTAGGTTCTTCACTCCTGGGACAGTGGTTTTGTCTCCAACGTGACTGACCGTCAAACAGCGCTGCTTACCTGTGCACAGTACTGGGACTTGGCTACAGCAACCAGGAGTTTCAGCACAGGCTGCGACTGGGAAACCAGGGGAGTTACTGCGTGGATAACGGCAGTGAATGTGGAAAGAGGCTTCAGACCTGAAGTGAAGAGAGATGGTGTTCAGTAAAGACAAAATTGCCCCGGTGAGTACAGATTAAAGGACTCCGGAGATGGAAAAATAATCTGCACTTAATGCAAACCTTGCCAAGTTTTTTTAGGCCATCTCCTTTCGTCTCGGATGCTAGGATACCAGATGCTTCAGAGGAGATCATGCTTTCCTTTAACTCCTACACCCTCCGAAATCCCTGACTCCAACACAATTACTGCCTTTTCTTGCTATTTCCACAGATGTCCTGCAATCTCTTCCTTCCACCCAGTTTGTCCCACAGATAGTATTGACATCTAGCTACTTTAATCAAATGTCTTTCGTGACACGGGCTCTGTTTTGCTACCTGGCTCCGGATGCTTGATGTTTTCTACAGATTATCTCCACAACTTCCAGAAGCTTGTTCAGTTTCCTCAGTTCCATTACAGCCTCTGTCAGATTTTTGCTCTTTCTGGGTCGATCCCCATCCACGCGCATCTCCAGTTACCTTCTGAGGTGATAACTCTGCTTGCACCCTTGCCTTCCATTCTGATATTTTTGTCTCACTATGATTTCCTTTTCTGCCTAAAATAACAGATCCTACTGGCGTCTACCCTTCATTACTGCTCTCAGTCTTCTCTAAATTCGTCTGTGTGGGGTCATAGTCATTTTTCATCAAAATTCCCACAGAAACCTTCTCCTCCCTTTTTAACGCGGTAACTGTGAATTTTTAGCAGGTGAGCAGTACAGATCCACACAAGTGGGACGGCACAGAATGAGCCAAAAGTGGCAGCAGTGTGGTAAGCAGGATCACTTCAGCCTGCAGGCACATGCCCCTGCAGAACTCATCGGTTAAGCTCCGCTTCAGGAACAAGCCACGAACCTAAGCCCTATTCATTCCTTCTAGTGGGATCCATGTGAAGACACACAGTATGGAGAGTAAATCCATACCAACTATGCACTCCAATAACAAGTGTCATGGGTAAATTACCACTTTTCCAATTTTCCAAGCACAAATAAACAAAGAAAGCAAAAAGCTATTCCTCTTATGTCCCCTCGGGCCATGAATGGGTCAGCAACTCAGGCATTAATTACTGGCAACTGAAAAGTATGAAGGGACATAGATTTTTTTTTAAATAATCTTTGCAAGTGAGAGGCACACGAAGCATGTTGATGAGGCAGAGACATTCCAGTCTACAGTGGGCAGGGAAGATTGAGACAGGATAAACGAAAGGCATCATTAACTAGAACTGAATGGTAAGTCACTCAGCACAAGCTACTCAAGGATCAAATTCCAAATTTCCACTAGAAATGCCAAATACCACTAGATTAAAGCAAGAATTCACTTACCGAGATTAGCATAGTAGTAAGGAAAATCTCCCAGATATGAGGAATACTGTGGCAGTACAAATAACCCTCCAGGATGTTTGTTCCATATTAAGCTGTTACGTGATATGTGCTTAAATATTCTGTCCTGAATAATCTGAAAAACAAGAGAGGCGATGATTTTTAAATAGACTGTAATAGCCACTGGTAGAAGCTTCAGGGACTTCAGCTGAGTGGAATCATCGCCCATTTTGCAGAAAGCTGAGGCACACAAATTACTAGACATTCCTGCTTAATCTCTCTTAAAATGACACAAAACCTGCACATTTCCACAGCACTTCAGCAGCTCAGGCTTTGTGCAGTCGGTTTCAGAGCACCTCATTAGTCTTTCTGGACATCGGGACCTTGCAATTCATTGCATTTTGTATTTCAAGTCAAATATTTTGTCTATTAGAGTATCTTAGCAGTTGTAAGCCCAATTAGTTCATTGTCAGTTTTACTCTCCAGAACTCATAGAAGATAATTATTTGAGGATGGCATTACAAAGCTAGGTATTATTTTGAGATAATGAAAGCATTCAAAACCACAAAGACTTTCAGCAAATCAGGCTGCACTAATTATTCATTTTTGCTTAATTATAAAGGGATATTAGCATCCGGATACATCAGTGGTTCCACGTCTCAGTTCTATAACAGTTCCTTGTTGGATGGAACAGAAAAAGATCTTTTGGCGACTACTGCCTGTCTCTGCAGAGGGCCACAAACACAGATCCCTAGATTTTTAAGGTCTGAACAGATTGGTAGGTCATCTACTTTATCATCTGGATTACCACAAGCCACAAAAAAAGATAAAAGGGCTGTACAATTAATGTACATTTATAAAACTAATTACAGTTACTTCATATCACTTGCCAGTACGCAAGAACCACAGTGGTTCTTACACCGATGGGAGCTCTCTCAAACCTGCTGCAAAGGCATAACAAGATTCAGAGGTGGGAAGATATCACTGGACAAATTCAGCCTCCAAATAAGATGCACCTTCTAAGGGCAACCTGCTGTTGGGCCACACCTTCTTATAGATTTGCTTTCCCCCAGAGCATCAGAGGTAGGCAGTTCTGGACACAGCAACATAGAATCATACAGGTTGGAAAGGACCTTTGAGATCGAGTCCAACTGTTAACGTAGCACTGCCAAGCCCACCGCTAAACCACAGAATCATAGAATCATCGAATGCTTTGGGTTGGACGGGACCTTTGGAAGTCATCTAGCCCAATCTCCCTGCAGTGAGCAGGGACATCTTCAACAAGACCAGGTTGCTCAGAGCCCCGTCCAACCTGACCTTGAGTGTTTCCAGGGATGAGGCCTCCACTACCTGGTCCAGTGTTCCTCCACCCTCATTGTAAAAAATGTCTTCCTTGTATCTAGTCTAAATCTACCCACGCTTAGTTTAAAGCTTGAAGACATTACTCCTTGAATTCCATGTCCCTGAGCACCACGTCTACACGTCTTTTAAATACCTCCAGGGATGGTGACTCCACCACTTCCCTAGGCAGCCTGTTCCAATGCTTGATAGTCCTTCCAGTGAAGAAATTTTTCCTAATACCCAATCTAAACCTCCCCTGGTGTAACCTGAGGCCATTTCTTCTTGTTCTATCGCTTTTTACTTGGGATATTGCAAAGAGCTTCGGCATGGCAAAGAAAGACTTTTCCCCCAGGTCGGCTAAGCAGGATCGCCTTGCCGCCTTCTGCAGCTCATCATCTGGGATCTCCTAAGGAGATCTCATGTAATTGGTAGTTTATGCATTGCACAGGGCTCAAGTGCCAAGAACACACTGGTTCTCCTAACATCTTGCCTCAGGATAGGTGCATCTGGGTGAAACTCTCTGGCTCTGAAGCTGAACTAAATCTGATCTCTCATCATTCATTCTGCCCCCACAGGCTATGGAACTAAAGAAGGTATATACGCACAGCACAGGAAAGCCAACAGCAAGCAACAAGACCCAACACAAGCCAAACAAAAGCAGCTGCTGGAGTCTACATAATCTAAAATCTTTGTAAGCAGCTGAGTTCAGGGACATTTGGTCAATACAGAACATGAATAAGTGTTACCACAAGCAGTGGTTTTCCTGGAATTTTTGATTGCCATGACAAAAAAACATTAAAACATCAGTCATATTGTACTAGACAACCCACTGCTGGTGGCAATATACGTGCTGCTAAACTGGGACATGCTTGTCTGAATTTTGCCTACAGCCAATTACCATAGCTAATAGGCAGTAATTCGCACACATGCCTAAGTTAATTTACCTTTTTTTAATTTTTTTGGTTTCAGAATAACACATTTAGGACTGTATTTCCTGCACTGACAAGAACGTGTCTGAGTATTTCTGTTTGGAAAGTTAGGTGTATCAGTTGTCACATCTCCTGCATTGCAGTGGGGAGAGGAAAATAAGACGATGACTGCTGTTTCTCCATCTGCAAGTTATGCCACTAAACAAAGACAGAACCTAGAAAGTACGTATTTTTGAGTGTTTACCACAAAGCCTAAACATTGCAGCTCCTTCCTCCTTCTTTCTCAGAACTGGGGCATAATCAGATAAGGAGAAGTCTGCGAATCCACATGGTCAGGAGGTTTTCACAGATGGTGGAGTTTTCCACGGCGCTGGTAGCCAGCAAGGCTGCGGGTTAAACACACGGCTGGCGTTCAGCGCTGGCTGGGCGCACCCAGAGCGAGCGCAGCTCTAACAGGGAGCAGCCCCCGGTGCCACGCAGCACTCGCAGCTGTCAGTACGCGGCAGGCACACCGATCTCACCCACGCGGGTCCGCGCCAGGCTGGGGAGCTGGCCTCAGTGATTTATCACAGTTAACGAACGGAAGATTAATTTCTCACACTCCTGGTCTACAGAAGAAACCTAGCTGTCTGTCATGATAGAGAGGAGAAAAGACAACTTGGCTGAAAGAGAACAGGAAAGTATAAAAAAAGATAACACGGAGGACAAATCAATTAAAATGCAGAGTGTATAGCATCGCACACATTGCAGAGACAGACAGCAGCTACACGGTCTCTCCAACGATGAGGCACGACAGGAAGTTTAATAACAGAAGGAAGGGGTTAGGATTTCTGGTGAGACCTCCCTTTTCTTTTTGGAATTCATTAATAGTCCGATATTTTCGTTTCCCTCATCCTCACACTTCAAAAAGTTCACATATTGCCTTAATCATTGCTGCTCCTCAACACGCCTCGGCCAAGCATCAGACATTTCTTGTCTGCACTTTGTGCTGCCCCTCTCCCCTCCTCTTCCCGAGTGGAGGACTGAGCACACCACACAGGGATTTAGGGATGTTTTGGGTTTCTTTTCAGAGAAGACCAAGCTGAAAAAGTGCAGATACACTGGAGCATGCATCTGGATGGTGTCTGCAGCAGTTCGCTGCTATGCTGCCAGTGCTCTCACTCGCCAGCCTGCAGCAAACCCTCATGAACATCGTTTCCTAACCCACACCGTGTCCACAGAACCAGGCAGTTCCTCTATACCTGCAATCTGCAGTTGGCCAAATGATTGAAACATCTTCTTTTGGGCTATGAGCTGTTTGGCTTAGGCTACAAAATGCTCTCGGACCTTAAAATGTGACTTAGTATTTTCAGAGGTATCCAGGATAAAGGGCAGAGGAGAACCGTGATGTCCCTGCAGACATCTGAGCTGGTGAAGACCTTTTCTATACTGCTATCCTCACATGTGGACATGTACCAGCACTGCAGTCAGCAGGCAGGCGATTATTCTGGTGATATCTAGCATCATCAGAGCACCCTGACACAACAGTGTTACAGCAGAAGATGGATAACATCCACCAGAAAAAAATAATCCTGCTAGGAATTTAACTTCCAGGCATCAGCTTTTAAGAAGAGGATATACTGCTTGCAGATTTTGGACACCAAAAATCACTCTCAGCTGTCTTCTATCTTTCCTAAGGAAAGTTAACTCAGGACTGCACTTAGGCAAGCTGAAATGTGAAATGAGTATCTGTTCATAACAACAGAATCCCTCTTAGCTGCCTCAAAAATCTCTGAGTCCCAAATTAAAAAATAAACAAAAAAAACCTCAAACCAAAACCACCCTTGCAAACCAGCGAAAAGACCCAGAACATAACTTCAAGACAAGGCATACATTACTCAGGTTCATTAAATTAAGCCTTCCAGGAAGATTTTTGTTTTCAGATTAGTTCTTCCCCTCCGAGAGGAAACTCCAGCTTGCTGGTTGCCCAGCTGCTCCAGCTTTACGACGGGTTTTGCAGTCCCCTGGGCACCTGCGGCCACACGGGCCAGTGTGTCCCAGGGCAGAGCTGAAGACCCATCTGTAAGCGCTGGAGCTCGACGCGATGGACGTCAAGGCCGTGGGGGCTGCAGGTGACGTCCCCTCGAGATGGGCCCCAGCACAGGCAGGAGAGGGGTGGCGAGGCACGCTGTGCACCCCTCTGCTTTCTGCAATCCCCAGGGACAAGAGGGTGCGTGCAGGGAAGGGGCAGGAGATACAGGAGGCACCCTGATTCTCCCTAAGGGTGCTTCCGTAAGGGTAAATTAGACTGCGAGCACCGGCACACGGTTTTCCAGCTTTGTGAGTTCGATCCTGGTGAGGTCTGCGACAATTCTCACTACCTCTCCAGCACTTATGGGGAGTCTGAGGATGCAGAGCAGTTCCCAACAGGCAGCACAGACGAAGACATGCTCTCCCGAGGGCGAGCAGAGCGTTGCGAGAATAGCTGTGCCAGGGGCTCGGAAAATGTTCCCTGGCTGGTTTTCTTCACTGGCACCGCAAAACCAAAGGGACTGTTGTCTTGCAGGAGCTGGAGGTAGATCAGCCACAGGCAACCTGCACTGCAGGCAGCAGCACTCCTTTGCAGGTGTCAGGGGAAAGCAGGCACAGCGGGAAACGTTTACAACTGCGCACCAAGACAGACGCAACTGCAGAAGCATTAGCATAAGACGAATGCATTTTCACCTACAAAGTGAGCCACTTTCTGTGGCAAAAGCGTGTCAAAAATTTATGTGCAAAATTGCCCAACAATTTGCAAGGAAACCTGCTTTTGAAATTGTAGCCTGGGCCCTACTTCTAAAGAGCCTTTCATCTCTCCTCCGTCTCTGAATTCAGAAAGGATTCTCTCCACATTTGAGATCACCTGTCTCCCTGTTTAATAGTAGTCTAATTATGAATATTTATTAAAATTCTGTAAGAATGTTCAGGCCTTTCCCTTATCCTGTGTGCGAAGATGAGACACAGTGATTTACAAGCCCCCCCCTTTCCCTTCAGCCAGACAACAGCCCCATCACAAGGCATCAAATTGTTAAGGAATGGTCAAGGAGAGCTTTACAGGAATATTTTTTCCAAAATGAATTCCGGAAAGGTTTCTTAAAGAAACGCATTCACTACCAATGACAAGGATAGCGAGTCATAAGCCACAAAGCCTTGCAAAGGCAAGATCACACATGACAACTTTACCATGCGTGGGGTAGCTCCCATTTTTCACTGTGTCTGTTTTCTAATGTGGATTCCAATAATGAAGAAAGTATTTCCTTAGGGGAGAAAACTTTTCAAGATGCCAAGCTTTTTTCCCAGTGCCCAGTTGTGTGCCACGAAAACCAAGGTCTGACGCTGGCTGAGGACAGGAGCAGCTGGACAGGAAAGGAAACGTCACGGCTCAAGAAGGTCCCAGACAATTTTTACTCACCTCTAGTGTAGTCAATACAATCTTCTCAACTGAAGAAAAATAAGCCTCCCACAAGAACTGTGTCTGCTGTCTAAGTGCTAGGATTTTATCCTGATGGATAGACCTGATTGTAGAAGGAATCTGTAATACAAGATGTAATATAGTCAGAAGCTTCAGAAAACAACGCAATCTCATCAAATTAATATGCTGCTGACAAGCCCTTTCCTCTACTAGCACGCCGCACGGCTTCAGCACTCCTGTCCGACAGAGATGCGTGTGCCAACAGTTAAAGCCCCGATGTAAAATGAATGAGACACAACCCTTCATAACCTTTGGTACTGAATACATGATTTTTTTTTAATCTGTTTTCTCTTAGTTTTCAGTTGTTTTATGGTGCCAAAAGCTCCCCCTCCACAGTGCTGTGGCGTGGCACAGTAAGGAGCTCCTCCATACAGCCCTTGACACAAAGCTTTTCATGGACTAGTATTTCAACAAACCAGTACCTGCCAGTCTTGAGAGTCCAACAATAACCCCGACTCTCAAAGTATATTCAAGGGGTCTGGAATTGCATTTGCTGCAGCACGGCAATACTATGTGCCCCAAGGAAAACAGCAACATCTCAAGTAAGACTCAACTTCTTGGGAGGCCGTGGATCAAACTGAATTTTACTAATTACTGTGGGTGGAAAGAGTAATATCTCCCACGACACCTGCTATTCACAAGGGAAAACATTGCTTCTTTTTTCCCCTCTCCATTCAATCAACACTGATTCTGGTATAAGCTGCCTTACAAATAGCTTATTTGGGTCCAGCTGCAATGCTTTGTCATTAAAAACATAACTGCTCACTGGATCAGAAGGGGAGGGCTTCACTTCTACGTCTTCCGCCATCCCCACGTCCCTCTTCCACACTGGAATATGCACGTGTCATTGCTTAACTTCTTAGGACCTCGATCAAGGCCTCCGGTACACCACTGTGACAATGCACACTGACATTATCAAGGGAGTTTAACTGCGATAACTTCAATTGCAAGGGCTACGCACAGCACCAGAAAGGCGTCTAGGATAGCTTACTGATGTTGTTCTTTTCTTCTAGGAATGAAGAGTGGTGCTTTTGCACCTACTTTTTTGTTATTTCAAATAAGGCCACCCCATTCTCAGACATTCATTTCTCACAAATCCTTCACCTTAGCTGTTACTTGTGAAAGATGTGTATTAATCAACACCTGGGAGCATTATTAACAGCAGAAACATGACCAAAGTCACTTCACAGTGGTCATACAGCATTTTTTCCACAAACTCATACATTTCATTGCATGATGTGCAACCTCGCGTGTGTATGCATATGTGTGTGAGCAAGAATAAAATCAATACTCATTCCCAACGACGTCTTTTGAAAGCAAAGGCTGCTCTGACTGTGAAGGTTACTGCAAGAAGTTCTGATTTTACAGAGCACACCATGCTTGCGAGCCCCTGCAAACACAGTGCCAAGGTTAAAAAAAAGCCTTGGTGCCTGCTCTGTTACAACAGCTGGAAAGCAAAAGCAGAGCTCCCATTTTAACTGCACTTGCCTATTAGTTATTAATCTGCTTGTCCACAAAGACACGTGGGGAAAATGATGTATTAATACTAATCTGCCAGGATTACACTGGAATTATTAGAACTGGATGACGTCTTAATAAAAGGTCATTTCAGTAATAAGTAGGGCGAAGGGAAAAACCACCCTGCACAACTAAATGCCGAACGGCTGGATTAAGCTCTCCCAGCGCTATGATGAGGAGAACATGCAAATAAAAACATCCGAGCTGCTCTCAAACAGGAAATGAAAAACTGTAACATAACAAAAACATTTCCCAGAGCAGACATTCAGGCCCTCTGCCAGGTCTTTAAAAACGCTGTTAATAACGGTGCGGTAGCTGTTCAGTATGGAAGCAGCTGTGAAGAGAACGAATGGCATGCTACCGGAAAGCATGAAGATTAGCAAATTATTATTATTTAAAGAGAGAAATAATTTTGCTCGGAAAAATGTCCTGTCCACAGAAGCAAAAATCAAATGGCCCTTTTACACTTGCAGCTTGTCTTACATTAAGCAGAACAGGCAGCACTCCGCACGGCTTGCTAGGCCAGCTCTTCACAAACATTTTCTTCTTCAGACAAGTAAACAGGCATCTAACGAGATTTTCCAAGGTACTTCATTTCTGGGGTGCCAAGACACTTGTACCTTTGAAGGCTTCTCTCCATGGATGACAATAGCTTGCCACTTTGGAAATGAGTTCAATTCAACCATAAAAAAACCCCTCCTCTTAGTGGCTATCCCAGATCTTGTGAATCTCAGCTTCATGCCAGGCAATGGTATTTTATGAAATACTACTTCAGGAAACCAATGTTTCAACAACTTTTCCTAACATCAACTTCTCCACATACTTTACAGAATGTACTTAGACTATAAAACCCACCAGGGAAACAGAAAAAAAAAATCTAGTGAATTTTAAACCAAAGTAGATGCTGAAGGTAGCAGGAGATTTCTAACTTCTTAGCCTGCATTTTTTCCGTGATCTCAAGGAGATTAACAATAAGTGACATGAACACTGCTTCAGAAAGCAATGTTACATGGTGCAGACATCAGAGAAGGGACAGATTCTGCTTCACAGCAAACTGTTAGGTGGTAACTCCTGTCGGAGAAAATACCTGCTTTCCTGATGGGTCCTTTCAGTACCCGCCAGCCAGACACACAGTGCTGGTGGGACCCCTCAGGATAAACTATTTCTGAAGGACTAGAGCAGAACCTGCCTTCAAATGTTGTCTCTCTCATCACAGCACCCGGCCCAGGACAGCTCTGCCTCAAAGAGGCATCCAGGTGCTCTGTGCTAGAAGAGAATTCACACTCTTAGGAAAAATAAGAGTCTCCTGCATTTACGAATGTGGCCTGGTGGCTGCAATGACCTTCAGGTCAAAAAATGAATGATGTCATATTAAATGAGTTCATAGCCGGTGTGACACAGACAATCCCTTTGTGATAAAAACTCTTTTACAGCCCTGACCTTTTGGATTCATCTTCCCCATCCATTTAGATGGCGGCAGCAATAATCAACTGATACACTGAAGGCCGCGGTCTTTTTCTTACCTGTAATAACAATCTCTCATCGCCTATGACGGCAGCTTGGTTCCAATCAATCACTTCCGAGAACGGCAACTCCCATCCGTTGCTGAGCATAACCGGGACGCAGGCAGCCTGCACGCACACAGAGGCATCGCACTCGTTAGCGGGCACCCCACGATCAGGGCAATCCTTGAGTTCGCACCAACGTCACGACCGCTGTTTTCTGCGCAAGCTCTGAGCCAGCTCTCATGCAGGGGGGCAGGAGAGGCAACATGGCAAAGAGCGCCAGAAGCTAGAGGCCACAGGAGGGCAGCCCAAATTTTTACGGTTTTGCATTTTGTGCTTATTGATATTCATGGCAAGGTGGGGTTTGCATGGAGAGTGGCATTTGGAATCTGGTGCTTGTGCTACCAGACGAGAGCAGAACTGTTAAAATGCTGTAGATGTAACACTGGAGAATTTAATACAAAATGATGGCCTCCTCTGCTGCTCTGTGAACCATTCAGCAGGGAGCTAACTCCCTGAATTTTTATAATATGTTGCAAGACAATCCTATGGAAAAGATACACCATATTTAACTCCAAGCAGTTTTTCCACAAAGGAGTGAATTCCCCATCCTGCTTAGGGATTCTTATCAACACTCCAAACAGAGGCAACAGCACAAACACCATTCATCTGTCATCACCTGTCTACAAAAATAACAACCGCTTTCTGTCTTAAACAAACAAAAAGCATGCACATTTAGTACCTATTTTGTACCAGTGTGATCTGTTTAAATTATTTAATCTTTTACGAGTTGCACAAGTTCCTCTGCACAGCCAGCCAGTTTCTGAATATTCAGTAAATAGGGCAGTATTTCCGTACATAAATGATCGCCACTACGTTCTGGTCAGCTGGATCACAACATCAAATACAAACCAAAAGCCTCCTGACATGATGCAGGAACCTATAACTAGAGGATCTGAGTCAAGCCTGTGCTCTGGTTTAGTTTCTTTTGGATCAAGCCAAGCTTAAGTGCTCTGAATTTGGCCCAGACTGATGTCAGCCCCTCCTGTGCCTCCCAAAAGATGGTACAAAGTGGAACCTTTCAGATGGCTGTACCTTTCTTGGTAAGATGTATTACACACAGGATCTTAGACTGGCCAAGTCTCTGCATTACGGCAGTGCTTATAATGTGTAAAGAACTGTGATCTTCTGTAAGGAAATGACATTAGTGCATGAAAAAAAGCCAACCAGAAAACACTTAGCAGTGTATTTTCATATTTAAAATGTTCCACTAATGTGGATTACGTCTTTCAACATGCCCTGGAGCCAGACAGAAATTGGGAATTCATTATAATGAGCACATACTGCTGGTAGCCTGCTAGGAAAATCCTCAATGCCTGCACTTTATCATCATCAACCCAGAACCTTCAAGTTTTGCACAGCAAGGTACACTCCTCGTTTTCTTCTCTTGAGACAACGTACGACTTGTGGCCCAGCCGAGAAAAAAGCTGAGCAGTGCTCTTCATAAGTATCTGAAGTGACTCGCCATCGCAAATAAGCCAGTCCCACCTCCTCCTCCGAAGAGGCTGGAGAGGGAACAGCACTTTGCAGGCTATTAATCTTCTCCTGAGTGGGCACAAATAGGTAAGTGACAGTCCAGAACCTGGATCTCAAATGTGACAGTAGGTGTGGGGTTCAGCGGTTAAACCTGTGTCCAGTGCATCTGAGATGCTCTGGGGTATCCAAGAGACGCATCCAAGGCTGGCAGACATGATGCAAGACCTACTGGAGACCTTCTGGAGAAGCAGCAGAAAGCCAGAAGGGTACCCCTGGGCTTCTAAAATGACATTATACATCTCCACTCAGTACCTGAATCCTGCTCTGCATTGTGGTAAACAATGCTCTTTAATAGTGGCTGGGACACTTTGTGGTTGACGAAGAATAGTGATGTGATATTATTCATTAACAGCTTTCCTGCCAATGCTGGGACGCTTCCCAAATGGCAAAAGGACACCCGGAGGCAGGATTCTGTCAGGTGACCTCATCCGCCACCTGACACCAAGCAGCGCCTCAGCCTCCCCTTCCCTCCGCTCCAGCCCCCGCGAAATCCAGATGCCAGTCCAAAGGGGAGCTGAGCATCTCCCGGGATGCTCTGCATGGCTGACTGAAGATCCGGGACCCCAGGGCTGAGCTGACGCTTGCCAAAGAAAAAGGTCACGCTGACTGCAGCCAGAGTAGGTCAGTGTCAGGCTTGATGACAGTGCAACCTGAGCCCCACTGCCACAGTGACTCAGGAGCCCCTCTGCATTGCCCCCTGCTGCTGGCCAACACCAAGGAAGGGAGACCATTAACCAAAATGTTTTTTAAAAGGTGAAGGAGATTCAGGTGCTGTCCCAGACACGCCGCGAGCTCCCTGACATCAGCCTATATCCACCTTCATGTGAAGCTCCCATCTGGAACTTTACAACCTCCAGGCCACCTTCTGCATGTTCAGCAAGCACCATCTCAAGACAGGCAACGCACAAGCAGGTTGGTTTTGGCAGAGTGAAAACAAAAAGCTATTTCTACTGCCCAAGGGCTTACTCGTAGAGGCCAGCGTCTCCCACGGGAAGTCTCCCAGCTTGACAAAATGCTGCTCTAAACTGGTCCAACCTCTCAGCCCCACCACATCCCGGGAAACCTCTCTCCTGTAGGTAACGCAATTCAACCTTCAGATGGGCTCAGTGCTCAGCTCCTCCTGGGAAGAAGCTGCCAATTGCTCCAGAAGTATGAATAGAGGCTTTCGCGAAGTGGATTACTGTCCACTAGGGAAATGAAACACATTTCTCTCCTCCCTGCCTCCTTGTTATTGCACGCTGAATTGCAGCCAGCGTAGCCGATGCTTTAAACTGCAGCTCTTACCTGCAAGGCTTCCAGAAACCTGAACGAGCCAAGCCTGCGGCCACGGGGAACCAGACAGAAAGTGGCATTGTGCAGCATTTCACGGTAATCATACCTAACAACAACAGGGGAGAAAAGAGAAAATTCAATTAGTGGTGAGTCCTAGAGTAACTGGGCGTGAAAATGCAAACAGCTGTTGAGACACATCTGGATAAAATCACCCGCAAGCAGGGCCGCTCACCACCAGGTTCACTAGCTCCCTCCGTGCACGCCTCTGTCAGCCAGCACCCCGGCTCCTTTCTGTTCATCCTCAGGAGCAACCACCATGGGAGAGAGCAGGGGAGAGTGGGCATGGAACTGAGGAGCAATGAACTAATTTGGCCTTTGCAATAATCAGTTGTTTCTATATGAACAGGCGTGCCTGAGTTCCAACAACAAACTTGTATTACATGTTTTGGTACCCAAAGCATTGTAGCGGCACTTCTGCGACCCTGATTTCTATTCAGACTTAGTCAAAGTCACGCACAACTGGTTTGCACAAAGCAAAAATTCAAGCTGTGCCAAAGAAATCCACCCCGATCGCGTAGGTGCTGCAACAGGGATGGGGGGTTACAGCGACTCGCTTGGTGGTTACTGTCAAGTGTGGTGAGAGGGATAAACTGCCAAATTTTGGCAATTAACCACGTAGCTGCAACGACCCCTGCTCCTCCGAATTAAAACTTTAAGTGCTTATACACACTCCTGGGCTTTTTTCCGATTCCATCAATCACCTCAAAACCATTTACCAAAAACACACATCAAACCCTAACAGCTTCCAGCCCGTTATTAGCTAATTGTGCTTCTGGCAAACCCACGGAACGGCATCGACCTCGTCCGAGACAAAAGGATCCAGACTAAACACCCTCCACTCTCCAGAGTGTCCTGGCCTCTGCGGGCAGATGTTCTTTTGACAGCAACTCATGGCACTCCAATCTGCTAGCACTAATAATCTAATTTAACCGCAGCCTGCAGACAGAGCAATTTTTTTTGGAAGTGTGTATATGTATGTACATATGCATATGAATATTCTTTATATATAAAAATGTCCGGATCTACGTTTGTATTCTCACACAGGCCAGACAGACGGGAGTAAGCCAATTTTCAGTTATAAGCTCCGTCTTTAGGAAGAGACATCTTGCAAAGGCCCATTTGCTTAAACAAGCGTGTACAGCTAATTTGCACAAGAAAAGGTCACTGTGAATGGATTAAGATTATCTCCACTGAGAGTAAAATAAAAACCCTCGTTGCATTAATTAAAACTACAAAACAGACTCCAAAGTACATTTAAAAAAAAAATCATCTCTCAACTTTGGTTAAAATACATATATACGTATCCATCAGAGCAGCAGCAGTTTCTTTTTCTCCGTGTGGGATATTGATTGGCAGCCATGTCCCAGCTCACCAACCAACAGTGACACAGCACACAGGGGAAAACATTAGGAAACTGGAATACCAAAAAAATAAAAAAAATTGCCATTTTTAAGCATTCCTTTTTTAAATATCGAGACGTCTGAGGCTCATCACTTTCACCCTGTATTTTATGACACAAAATGTTAATAAATACCAAAAATAGAATACCCTGCAGGGCTAGAATACGCCAGTCAGAAGTACCCCATCATTAGCTAGCTAAAAATGTAAAATCCTGTTAATATCCTGGAATGCAACAATATCCACAAAACGTTGGTGGCAGAACCAGAACACAAAGAAACGCAGAGAACGAGGCCAGTGCAAGCGAGCCCACCACATCCCACCAACGTCTTCTATTGGGTACCTTTTCCTTCATATCTAATTTGCTGATGTAAGGATAGATTTATGCAGGATAAAAAAAAAGAAAAGGATTTTGTTGACTATTTCCCACCTGGAAAACAGTTAGCGTCTTGCTCCCATTCGTGAGTTTTAAAGCCTAACGAGTGATTTATTGCTGAGCTCTGGACTAGCACGGTCCATGGTCATCAAGCAATTCATCTACATCACACGGACACAGACAGCCTCATCCTAACCTTGATGTATGGGCACAAAATTTCCACTCACTTCAAGCAGAACCCGCAAATACAACAGGAGCAGACCCGGACTGAAGCAATATCCACTGAGAGCTGCTGCAGCGAATGAACTACAGCAGAGGTTCTTCTCAGGAGCCAATTTCTCTGCAATTTCAACCCAAATGTTTTAAGGTGACTCGATAAGATCTTTGAGTGCAGTGCTAAGGGACTGGTTTCCCGTTTAATCCCCCTCAGCGACCATTCCAGGATCAAATATCTATTTGAAATCCTGAAACACAAGGTGCTGATTCTACTCCTACTAGCTGGTGGGTAGCACGCCAAGCAACGGGGGCACCCTGCCTTAGCTGAAAGACAGAGAATAGCCCAGTATGTTTAAATACAAATTCGGAAATGCCTTTCACACAACACTTGCAGCCAGCCACAAATGCATAAACACCTCTGCTGAGCTGCAAGCGTGGCTTTGTCATCTGAAGCGCTGCTTATGGAGGACATCGGTTACATGTACCAAACAGCGCTTCGGAGTCAAGCTTGCAGCAGAGACCATTTCACGTTTTTCTCACACTGCCAGGCAGCATTTGGAGGAGACCTTGACCACGAAAGCGTCACCTGGTGAATGAAGCCCCAGCCCACAGCTCATGGTAGGGGCAGAAGGCGACAGGGCAACCCTCCTCCCCATTCAGCCCCACAGGAACGATGCATGCAGCAGGTTTGAGCTTTGCCAGTGTTTTGTCAGGGAGGGAAAATTGCGACTGGCATTTTTGTTCACACAGGAAGCATACACGTCTCACCTGAAGGCATCTCTGCACATCCCTTCATTCTGACTTGAAAGGCTTTCAGTGAAGTCAGTGAGATAATCTCTATGATTAAAGGTAGGTATCTGAATTAAATCATAGAATCATAGATTGGAAAAGACCTCCAAGATCATCAAGTCCAACCATCAACCCAACACCACCATGCCTGCTAAGCCATGTCCCCAAGTGCCACATCTTTTTTTGAACGCCTCCAGGGATGATGACTCCACCACTGCCCTGGGCATCCTGTTCCAATGCCTGACCACTCTTGCAGTAAAGAAATTTTTCCTAATATCCAATCTAAACCTCCCCTGACACAACTCGAGGCCATTGCCTCTCGTCCTATCGCTAGTTACCTGGGAGAAGAGATCAACACCCGCCTCACTACAACCTCCTTTCAGGTAGTTGTAGAGAGCAACAAGGTCCCCCCTGTGCCTCCTGTTCTCCAGACTAAACACCCCCAGCTCCCTCAGCCGCTCCTTGTAAGACCTGTGCTCTAAACTTGTCCAGGAGCGAAATTGGAGCTGGCACAGACACCCAGGAACACCCTCTCAGCTACAGCAGGACACTTCTACTTTAAGTACTGGTCTGGCATCTATTGCAGATACCAGTATCACATCAACGATGGGCTTGATTTCCCTGCCATCTTCACTGACTAATCTCAACAAGACCTCAGGGAGGCAATGAAGTATTATAACCCCACTTGCAACTGGCAGAGAGGCCTCAAGTTACAGAGAAAATAGTCGAGTGTTTAGCAGAGGTTCTTCCAGAGCCTCCTCCTCTTCTTCTCCCCTGGCAATGGGGGTTATATCTGTTTTCAGAAATACCTATTTCCATCAGCCAGTAACGTTTGAAGACAGCAGGGAGATTCGTTATGGTCTTCCAGCTTGCATAGCTGTGGTTTCTGCAAACCCGATGCTGCCAGCCTGTGGGGAGGACAGCTCGGCGTTACCTGCCCATCCAGACGCTCTGGTTTTACCCGGCTACAGAGGTTTTTCAGGCTCCACTTGCCGCTGAGGAATTGGAGCGAAGACCAGCACTGTGGGGCACTGCGCGGGGGCTGGCCGGGCACTGCTTCCTCGCCTGTGCTGCTTCGGTGTGGCTTTGCTGCTGGTGCTCTCCTTTTCGTTACTGCGGGCAGGGACCCTTCCTGGGCACTTACTGTAGGGAAGCTTAGAGAGGAGTCCTCTGCTTTGCTTGGAGGGTATTTATTTCCAGAAAGCTCCTGGTTTCCACGTCACTTGACTGCTGGGGAGAGGGGGCACATGCTTTCTGCTCATATTCCTGTATTCCTTCATTCCACACGCTCGCATGGAGGTAACATTTTATTGCCAATTTTAGGGTCGGCTTGGCCTGAGCCTCAGCTGCATCGTTCAAACATGTTAAAATCCAAAACGATCCTTCTGGAAGGTGCAGCAGTGTCTTTTATTAACTTTCAGGCTGCCTTCCATAATGATTAAGTGCACCATGTTCACAGCTAATACCTTTTTTAGGCAGCATAAACAAATAGCTCTATTTGTAATCAATTCTAATTTATTCACACTTTAATTGAAATATCCCCTCCCTGCTACCACCCATAGCTGAGACAACATGTTCGGCCCCATCTATCACGCAGGTGTAAACACTGCAGTGCCGTGTGGGCAATTATCCAAGGGAGAAACGCTGCTCAGCCAAATGCTCTTACCACTTTACCTTCTTGATCCAACCCATTGCTCCTGTCTTTCCCCATCCCCCCCTTTTTTTTTCCTTCTGATGTGCTGACCTTGTCAGTCAGCACGTGGATTAGAGGGCTGCTTGGGATTCCTGGTCCACCATTATCCCAAGGAGCCCGGGCAGGCTGCAGAGGCTCTGCAGTGACTAATCAGCCATGCCACACATTCCTTCTTACAGCTTAAGCATTTCCCCATGTCACTACACTTAACAGATTATAAACTAGCCTGGGAAACATTCTTATAACCCATTTTAATATAAACTATTTTTTCCCAAAGCCACATCATCATAACTATTGACTGAAGTGAGGTCTAAAAGGACGTCAGGCTGTTCACACCAGCAGATACATCCGGCCACGTAGATGTAATGACTGTCATACTTTATCCAGCTATATGTCACCTGTCATGTAGGAATCGCAAAGCACTGTATGCACTTTCTTATCTAATCTTCTGAACACTGATACAGGATACCACCATCACTCCCATTTCATAGATGGAAAACCCGAGATGCAGAGGACTGGTGGCTGCTCCAGCATTTCCAGACCCTGGGAATGCTAACTCCAGCGTCCTCACCCG